CGATGGGTTAGCGGTATTCCGCTCGCGAAGACGCATCGCACATCGAAATTCTTTCAATATCGGATACACAACTTCAACCGCTTTCATCACATCATTTTCCGATGCAGCTTAAATAAAATCCAAGGATAAAGAGAAAATCAGAAAAAAGTTTTGTCGTGTAATAGATCAAATAATGACTAATGGTTTTTTCGTTATTTCTAATGAAATAAAATTACCGCCAGTAACAGTGATACTGCCAGTTGTGTGAATTCGAAGAGTGGCTCGTGGGCTGGTCGAGCGCCATACCAGTCCCACAGATAATTCCGGCTCATACTGCGAACATTCCGGATATTTCTGCGCCAGCTGAAGGCGAAAATTCAAAATTTGCATATTCGGAAAATTCAAAATTTGCATATTCGCACATCCATCGCGGCCTATTTCGGATGAAAAATTCACTTACTTCTTCAACCTTAATGCCAAAGGGCATTTTGCAAGTGGCCAGTACATTGCAAACGCGATAATTTCGAATGCGAACCACATCCGCTAATTTACCCATGATTTTTTGCACCATACGTCCAACGCCTCGAGCGGCACGCTTGCACTCACTTTCACTGAAATCGCTACTATGTGTAATTGCAGTAGAACCCAGAAAGGATGTTCTGGATAAAAAAATACACAACAATAACCTCTTTTCACTCGAATTGAGCTAGAATTTCAGGGTAGACAACACTTACCTCGCTATCCTCAAAAACACTCCAGGAAAATTTTTTTTAAACTTAACTTTTCATGTTATTAAGTCAAAACCCCACACTCATATACTGTAAGAGACGAAGGCACTCGGAAGAAGTTCGAATGGTGTAGATGCCAAAAATAGCCATTCGCTGGCAAATTTCTCAATGGCTCCCTATCTCGGGGGCTGCTCGTAAAAAAACTAATGGCGGTTCTGAACTCTTTGGTATGCAGCACTATCAATTTATGATCAAAAAACAAACGAGTCGTGGAGGGACTGGTTATCCGACTGGCTAAATCGAGCCCTTCACATCCAGCATAAACGTAGCTATAGCAAAATAAAATTTAACCTGCGGCAGCCGACAATATAGATCTTCCCGGAACTGTATATTTTCACATAACATGATGGGTTTCTTTTTTGTTTGAGCAAAACCTGCAAACCAAATTTTTGAAATAAACAGCGAGATCAGCAATTTAACGTACTTTTAAGCTGCTTCAGCTTCTTGAAAAACTTCACAGCGGGTAAGAAGAGTGTCAGTCCGCCGCATCATAAACGACGACACCACACAACGACCCAAAAAACACATTTGAGAAGCATTTATTGATGTGTAAGAAAATGGAAAATGCGAAGGAAACACGTACGCCACGTCCACGATCCAGTGCAACATTGCCGGAATTTAAAGCTACACGATGCAGATCAATATGTAACGGAAGTATATAATTACATACGACGTTTCGGACCTGTAAATGTTACAGATAAGTGCTGCTGCCAAAAAATGTCAACACGATACCTTGATGACCAAATGTACTCACAAGCCTAATCCCTGCTCCTGCCCCCAATTCCTACCTCCAAACAAGATCCCAACTTCTTTTCTGACAATATATCAGAGAAGGAGGGCTGAGTTGCGACCTATGCGGTCTAAATTAGCATTTGCGATTCTTCCCCTTTCCATTAACTCTCTTTCCCCCATCTCCCCCCTCCCCCCTCTCGCCCCCTCCTTCCGCGCCTCCATACAACCATACATACCATCTGAGGGAGGTATACTACATTTATCATAACTCGACATCCGGTCGAATCGAGCCAACCAAGTTTTAGTAAATATCGCTATACCAAACCTTCTCATCAAGCAAATCCGGTTTGTTCAGCATATGTTACTTCTTCTAATGATTCAAAAACAAGAAGGGATATTTACCTGAATATCAATTTCACCATCTGCCTCATCCGCATCATCGGCAGTGTCAGAACTCGTGGAAGGCCGAGATTCTACTTGGGCATTTTCCTCTCTCGCGTCCGGCTATAAAAAAACACTTATTCTGACATACAGGAAGAATCACTGGGCTGGTAATTTCTTGAGTAAGACAAAATGACCCTAAGAGTCGTCATCAGACTGACCACTATGCAGTAATAATTAAAACTGCTGCAAAAAATACAAACTGCATAGTTGTAAAGCAACCCTATGAAGGCAATCCAAGTATCAGTAAATCTCACAAAATACTGAATTTCACGAAAATATCATACTGAGTATTGAAGGAAAAAGAAAAGTTTATACAGCAATTGCTGTTGCTGCTGCTGCTGCTGCCGCTTGCGATCCCTCGAATTCCTCCTCGCGCACCGGAATATCTAAATTATCTGGCTGCGACTGAGATGAAAATTCCGAGAACGCCGAATGCTGCGAACTGACACTTTCTGAGAAGCTACTTGTCGCCGTGGCTGAATACGACCACATAGCACTCTAAAACTGCGCCCTTCTTTTTTGATAAAGCAAAAATAGAATAAATGAAACTCATCCGGAACATACAAACACATACACACATATGCATTTGCACACATACATACACTCACGCACACACATAGACACACACGCACGTACACACATACACAAACATACACACACACCACACACATACATACAAGTACAGGGTCTCGACAATATGCATTTTGTGCAATTGCTGCAGCATAAAACGCATAAAAATGCAAGAATGGAGTTGTTAAAACAGTGAACCATCAAAAGCTATGAAGGGTTTTAAAGCACAACAATATTTCGATAACATATCAGAGCAATTTTTTCAAGAAAAGAGACGATGCAGGAAGGTGTGGAATGATCTACAATTGCCTATCCTTGCTTCACTATTGCGCGCTTCAAAATCCGTTTCCAAGGAGAGAAAGAGTACACAGAAGCCCCGTAAGTGCATTTGTCCAAACAGCGCCAATAAACACGGTTTTCTGAACAACGAAAGAAAAGCCAGTTTTTCAAAGAATTAAGCCGCTTAGGCTTCGAGACCACACATTTCACACTGTAAACATCTGTGAAATAAATTAGATGCTGCAGGAGCTCAACCAGGAAGTGAAGATGTAGGCCTGAAAATTTACGCATCGAAAATGAAAGTGGCGCAAAATGCCGGTATGCCAAAGCCTTATTGTTGATGGACTTGCGTTGGTTTGAAAAAAGTTAGAAGCTTCATCTACTTTGCCTGGGAATTGCATACATGTTACGATTTTTAGCCAAAGTCTACACGTTGAAAAGCTGTCGCTAGGCGCAAACTCATACCGCCGTTGATGCCTTCAATATATCGCCCCGAAAGGACCGTGTCCAACTCTTCAATACCACTGTGTTGAGAAAAATGAACTACGGATGCGAAACATAATCACTGACGAAAGCAAAACAGCTAAAGCTGATTCTGACTGACAAAGCAATGGAGCGAAGGACTGTTTGAAATTTTTTTTGACATTTTAAGGCTCCGTCACATCGGTAGGGCACAGAATTCTGAAGCAACTATGCGAGAAAGTAAAATCCGACAGGCAGGAGATACCGCTCACTTAGACAATAACTACCGGATATTGTATATCACCTTTTATACTGCTCAATATGGCAGGCGAATCAAGTGGTTTTTCAAGAAGCACAGACGTACGTAGCAGAATAAGTACTGTTCAAGAAAAAGCAAAAATTAAACGCCCTGTGGTCGCACCCCGAAGCTTCACAGCACCAGTCCCAGTGATTCTGATCAGTGATGGAGTCATGAAGTCAAAATTAAAACCCCTTCGTGCCCACTATTTAAGAAGAGGGGTGAGCTACTCCGAAGTAGTCCCCCAGTAGTCACAAATGCCAAAAGCAACCACACGCTGGTAAAACTGACGTCATAGCTCACTTAATAATGTCAAATTTGAGATATAAAAAGAAACCTTGACAGTGGCATTAGTCGTGACCGACGAATGACCAGTGAGTGTGTAGCTGCCGTGGTCATTCGGGAATGTTGAGATGCTCATCGCGGTTCAATGAATGAATGCACCAACACCGCTGCACTGCAGGACGATGATGACGATGAACACGACAGGCACGGAGATGATGAGACCAATCCCATGCGCAACTGCCACCGCTGCAACAAACAGAGAAGCCTGTCATTCACATCCAGAAAGTACTCTTTTTTACTTACTTCAAAGTATCCGGATGCTAATACTTTGTCTGGAAGTTCCCAATCCATCGGAGAAATAAAAACCAACGAACAATGCCCTCCTCGATGTGCCATATTGGGAGGGGACGATACAACCCAGAAGATATATAAGAGTGGAATCTCACTACACAAAAGTGTATAACAAATTTTGTTTTTTCTTAAAGTTTTTCCATCACTCAAGGTTACCCGTTTGTCTGCTATCTGGCTGGACAATTAAATAATTTGTCTTTTTATACTGTTCTTTGTTGGCTCAAATTTAATTTCAAAACTTTATAGCATTTTTGGACATACAAAAAAGCGTCATGGCAAGGTTAAGTGTCCCGGAAAAATTTGGTTCAGAAATATGGAAACCAAGAAATTGTCTTTTTAACATGTTCTCTTAGTCGGCGAAGAGGCAGCTCTTCGTGGCTTAGGAATGGCAGCATTTGAAGTGTATTGTCAAGAACACACTAGGGACATCTCAAAATGGCTAAAACCCCTTTGCGAGGTATTTGCGCCCAGGAATTCACTGAATTGGTAATCCCTTCAGGAGACAAAACAAAGACCAAATCGGCAACGCGCTGGCCACTAGGCAATATAAAATTGGTCACAGCTGATGGCGTTGTTTTTTTTTGGCGCCAAATTATTGGGCGGCGCAACTTGGAGCTGCTGTTGCCCCTCCCCCCCGCCCACGCACAATTACGCGTGCTGTGCGGTACAGCTTCGAGCTGCTACCGAATCTTCCGCGCTTCACGGTTTGTTTCTGTTTCTGTGTGTTTTTTTCAAAAAAAAGGCATTGTTTGTTGGTTTGTGTTCTTTGCACCCCAGCAGCTGGTGTAGCCCTTCAGCCGCCCAGGCATCCTCCAAATGTCCTCTGTGTGTTACACACAGCAACTGGAAAATTTACCAACTGCATAGGTTAGGGGACAAAACTACGTACTGTCCTGGATATGTCAAATAATTAGCCACAATCCACGTGCAGAACCAGAAACGTGAAATCAACTGCCATGCTCTCATGGCAATCGTCACACTGACGAGCATGAAAGATGCTACATGCAATAATACATCCCACATGTAATGGAAATTATTAAAACTTGGCTCGGCAACGCAATATGCATTCGTCTGGGGGTTTGGACGAAACTTGTAGTGCTGGATTTTTGTCTGGGATAGGATACCGAGTGTTGTTGCACACAAGTTTACTAGCTTTAGCTCAGCATCAAGTTTCTTTTTGGAACAATAAGAAACTCAAGTGTCTTCTCCCCTGTTCCTCGCTCTGTTCCCTCCTACCCTCTAAATAAAATCTTAACTTCTTCCAGTCAATAACCCCCTATCCCTCACCTCCATCACCACCTATCGGAACCTAAATCCTCCCCTTCTCACCCATTTTTGCCCCTATCTCTTTGTAGTTGCAAATTGCCTCCCAACCCCGGTCCCAACCCCGGACCAGTCTAGTAGAGCCCAGTTTTAGCAAGGGTACCCTGGAACTGGGCTTTGTTACTATTACTCTGTTTCCTCGAAATATCGATAGGATGCACTCTCACACACACCGGATGAGGAAAGATGGGAGGAAGTCGGAAGTGAAAAGAGGCCCTCAACAGCGAGCTAGCAGAGGAGGAGGTAGTGAGGGAAGTGAGAGGGAGATAGAATGGCAATGAATCAAAACATCACATTATTGAGCAATAAAAGTGCACTGTGTGGCCAGTGCAACTCATCGTTAAGAGATCCGAAGAGACCAGGGAATTTTTATAGTGTTTTATGTGTTTCTAGAGCGTTTCAGACTACCTCCAGTGGTAAAAAAGCTTGTTCCTGGTCCGTTTTATACAGCCCAGTTTAATAATATCGAAGAAGTGCGCGAAATTTCCCCACAAAATTTTTCAGTGTTTTTGCTTCACATAGAAAAAATAAGTACAAAAAGTACCAATCCTATCAACCACTAATCCAATGTGTGTACGGCTCCATGAAAGACAAGTCAAAAAAACCACACTATTATCGACAGACAAAACATGCAAAAGTTCCCATGGCACATAAATGGATGTCGACTGACGAAAGCATACCCTGGTACCAGTGTACATTGAAAAGAATGCTTCTGGAATTGCTGAGAAAGACCCGGTAGTTCGAC